CACTTTCTTCTCTGCGTTCACTCCCTAATAAGTCTTGCCAGTCTTCTTGGAGAACTGTTTTGCATGGAATACCGCCATAGCAATTTGTCAGGTTATATCCATTTCCTCTACATCTTCAGGGTGAATATGATCTAAGTCAGCAAATGACAACTGAAGAGGCAATTCACCTGCCACAAAAGCATTATAATAGTTAACAAGACCGGTTGCAAGAACCAATTTCTCTTCATTTTCTTTTGAAATAGGAATTTGGCAGGAGCTGGAACATTTGTCTTTGAAGAAGAAGCAACTTGCGGATATGGTTGGGAAGTATCAAATGAAGGTTGAGCAACAAAGGATGACTGATGAGGAACAAATGATGACTGAGGAGCAGCAAAGGGTGGAACTTGAGGATTGGTGAAAGATGAGAAAGCATTGTTTGACTGAATTCCAAGATTTACAGATGAATAAGAATTAATGTGATTAATCTCTCTTTGTTTATCATCATGATCACAAGCTTTAATGATGTCCATGATTTCATCCAAGCTAAGTCAATTAAGGTCTTTTGTTTTCTTGATGACAACTACATTCATATCCTAAGTTTTTGGAAGAGAGTTGAGTAACTTCTTGTTCACTTTTGACCTTGACTCAAAAACACCAGCTGAACTCATTTCAGTGGTGAGTGTGATGAAGTGTTGAAGCTGAGCTTCCAGAGTTTCTCCAAGGACATGATTAAACATGTTAAACTTTTGCCTCAACGTGTCTTGACGGCTCTGTTTCATGTCCTCATTTGCTTCATATACCTTTATTAGGGCTTCCCATAGAGCTTTAGCAGATTTGTATTCCTGAAAACCCTGGGCAATTTTAGGTGAAAGAGTCATAGTGAGGGTAGCAAGTTCTCTTTCCTGCTGTTCAATCTTGTCGAATTCTTCATTAATGTATTCTTTAATAGCTTTGTCGACAATTGTTTTATCCGAAAGTGTGGTAGTGATTGTGATGGGGCCCTTCAAGATACATCTCCAAATTTTGAAATCTTTCATTTTGATGTATTTCTCCATGCGATACTTCCATTCTGGAAACCTCTCAGCAGACATCAGACGGGGTATGCGAGTGGTAGTACCTATGACAGAGTCAAGTTCATGATGAGAATTTTGTGAATCCATTTTTTTTAATTTTCTAATCTTAGTTAATTAATTCAAATTATTAAATTTAAGAACTGAAAACTAAGCGTGTTTACAGCTAAGAGTTTACGGCTGGAAGCTTGAATACGGCTGGGTCGTTTACGACCGGAAGCTAGTATATGGCTGGAGGTGTTTACGGCCGGAAGCTTGTTTACGGCCCTAAATGAGTTTTCAGTCTGAATAGTTTGCTATCTTCACAGATTAACTGTTTACCGTCGTAGAGAGAGTTTATGGCCGTACTCCCTTCAACATTGTAAACCGAAAACTTCCAGAAAAAGGTAAAACACAAGATTTTCCAGCAAATTAAATCCCATTAGCTATGAAAACGTAGAATCACACCTTGAATTGTGAAGAACCTGAAGATCGTTTTAACCGAGAACATGATTGTGGTTTGTTTTGACACCGAATGGCTCTGATACCAATTGTAAGGTCCTAAAACTGAGAATCCAAACAGTGATTAAACAAATACCAATTGATCAAACTAAGAATGTAGTAGAAGACAGATTAATCCAAGCATACACACATTTTATATTAAATAAACGTCCGATACACATTGGGGCCGTAAACTAATAGACACTCTGTGATTCGCCAACAACCTGACAAGACACTAACAAGCCCTATATATAGGGGAAGTTGGCCGTAAACAGGTTTACGGCCGTACACACTAGCTCATCTGTAAACTCTTACAAAACAAGTAAAACATGACCAAGAACTTAACAAGACTTATACAAATGATTGCCTATACCAAACCACAAAATAATAACCTATCACGCCATCTCGTTGCGGAATGCACCCAACCTCTCATCAAGTATCTCCAAGATGCCCTTCTTGACCGTACCTAAGATCACGGGAGTCTGTTCTAAAATACTGCGCGTGACCTCAGATGAAATGAACCCTCTCATTTGCTCATCGAGATGCCCGACTCTAGAGCCCGAGCCTGATCCTTCACTAGCGCTAGAGCTGCCAACTGGCCTAGTACGTAGTGTCACCATACTGAAAATACACCATAACAAACATCAGTATACTCGTCATAACTCGAGGGATCACACATACTACAAGTTCCCTAGGTTCATCTCATCATACCTTCCACTTCTATCCGTACTTTCCTTAAGAACTGCCTTGACTCCACCAAGTCCCTTCTACTACTACTGCTTATTGTGCTAATCTTATCTTAGGCTTGCACTAGGGTAATGTTTGACCTACTCTCTGCCATCAGCTGCATAAGAAGTCCTTGCTATCTCCCCCTAACTAGCTTGCGAATACCATTACATATCACTAAGATCAGATAATTCTTCGAATGAGCGATCCTACCCTACAACGGTTAGACTCAGACAAGAGTTGCGAAATAGAGCTAAACCCAACCTTCTGAAATTATTTAGTCCTTGTAATATGTAACTTAACGTATTCATTTACTACTTAGTTAAAGACAACTAGGACTCCTAAAAGCACAAAGCAAGCATCATTTGAGCATTAAGTAACCATAATCAAGCATATCATATTCAGGTCATCATATTATCGACTAATCAATACTAGCATATAGTTCAATAAGCTCATATAACAGACATATAAGGCATCATTCCTAGATCCCTAGCCCTAAACTAGCATGGAGTTCTCATACACATATACAGACATACGAGGCATCATTCATAGATCATTAGTCCTAATCTAGCATGCAGTTCTCATAATCATAACATAACAACTTGTATAGGTGATTTGGGAGAACTTACTTGAGCACGACTGATTGCATGCACCACACCCTTTTCTCTTTTCAAAATCCTTTTTATAAAAATGGTTTTCTTTTAAAATTTTATACGAAGTCCTTAGTTTGAGCACGACTGTTACCTCGTGAGGTGCTTTCCTCACATTTTCTTTTCTTTTCTTTTTTGTTTTTATAATATATAACTATATGCAAACTAAAAAATTATAAAAATATATAAAATCTTATGGTTTTTAATTTTTTATAAATAAAATAAAATATAAATATAAAAGAGGTTTTGAAAAATAAAAAATAAAATAATAAAATGTGAATATTTTGAGGATTCTAAAGAGCGTGAGGTAAATGAAATGCTAAAAAGGAGGAAGTAGTAAAATGATGACAAAATTGCAAAAATGGTCCCCGTAGTTGGCAATATTCTGTGGTTTTTGTCCAAAAAGATTTGTTGGTGCACCGATGGTCCAAAATTGGATTTTTGTTGTATTTTTTTTGGTCCCTATCAACTTAAAAAGACTATTATACCCCTTATTTTTATTTATTTTTTTTGTTAATATTTTTAATTAATTAAAAATACAATATTACACCTCCCCATTGTTTTTTAAGACCGACAATGTGTTTCCTTTGAATTTCACCGACAACATATCACCCCGTTCCTGAGTTCATTTTAAGGAGAGAAAAGAAAGAAAATAGGTGGAAATGAGAGGAAAATAAAAGAAATTGGTGTTTTCGAGTTTCATTAAAGGAAGAAAGTGGAAGGAAATGGGAGAATCACTTTCCCTCCTAACTTTGCTTCTGATTTTGAAGGATTTGGAAAGAAAGAATAAAATGTTTAATTTTCCTTCCACTCCTCTCCAACTCGGGAACACAAAAGACGAATTTTGTTTCATTTCTTTTATTTTATTTTCGCTCCTTACTTTCTTTTCTCTTCTCTTCTTTTCTTTGCTACAACTCGGGAACGGAGTGATATTTCTCTCAAGGAATTCTCCCGCTGTTCTATCTCTTCTTCTCTCTCAAGTTCTGCTTCTGCTTCTGAAACAAACCCTAAATTTCCTAGAGCAAACCCTAAATTGCACCAACATCACCTAAATCAAAACGGAATGAAAACCAATTTTAGCTAAATTGCCTGGAACAAACCATCTGCATCGTTGCTTGAGTTGTGTGTGCTTGTGTGGTAGAAATAAGGCAGCCGACAACAGAAACGTCCAAGAGAGAGAGCAGTCCATAACTATGGAGATGGTTTTGTTCGTAACCGGCATTGCCGTTGATAACGATGATGTTAACGTAGAAGTTGGCGGATGTTATGGCGATGATGTTCACCCAAATACTATTGCCTAAAGCCCACTTTCTAAACCTTGCTACTTCTCCTTTCGTTTAACTTCGTGAGGTAATTGATTTCTACAAGTGTTTTTGATTTGTGGATCCGGAGGGGTATGATTTTTTGACCTAGAAACATTTTCAGGATTTAATATTGGTCGCAGGTACAAAGTTTGTTCTTGATTTTTGTGTTTTGTTTTACTTTTCGTTTGTTTTGATTTTCATGATGATTCAGTTTTATTTGATTTGGGATGAAAAGTTCATGGTTGTCGGAGATGAAACCTGAAAAAAAAAAAAAAAAAATGGTCACAAGCAAGAAAAAGTTAGGATGACGATGGTAGTGTCTGGTAGGGGGTCGGGTGGAATGGGGTGCAGGTAGGGTGGGCGGGAGATTTTTTTTGTATGTTTAATTAAAGTAATAAGAAAATAATTAAAAGAAATATATATATCAAACGGCATATTCATCATTTCAGATTGGATATGGACTAAATCCAAAAACAAATACCAACTATAGGAACCAAATACCAACTATAGTATCCAAAATTGGACTTTTCAGTACAGAACTTTGCCACCATAGGACCATTTTTGCAATTTTGTCTTAAAATGAAATGGCTTTGGAAGAATAAAATTGACAAATAAAAGGAGGAAGTTGTAAAAAAGTAGAAAGGGAAAAGGAAAGAAAGCTGAAAACGGCGGAGGTCTCCGAAGTCCAGGAACATCGGTTACTATTTCTCCAGCGGTACTACCAGAATCCCTAATCGGAATTTGCAGAAGCTCTGAGAGCAATTAGCAAAGCATCAGGATCGACATTGAAGATGCATTCCTTCGGATACAGAGCCAACGCTTTGCTGACTTTCGCCGTTACAATACTCGCAGTAATGTGCGCCATCGCTTCCGTCTCCGACAATTTCAACTCTCCCTCTCCCACCTCACAAGTCCAGGTCTCTCTCTCTCTCTCTCTCTCTATGTATGTATGTATGCTCGTAAAGTAACGATCTGTGTTTATATGTGATTTGTTTGGGTTTTTGAGGGAATTGATTGGTTTGATTTTCTGGGGTTTAGGTTTTGAACATCAATTGGTTCCGGAATAAGCCAGATGGCGATGACGAGGTAGCTGATTCTCATTCTTCGTATATTCCTTTATGTGTTATTTGTTTTTAAATTAATTTAATCTACTCTCTCCTTCCCCAAAAAAGGTCAGCTTTGGTTCTGAAAATTCAACCCCTGTCTTCTTTTTTTCGAAATTGATGCAGATACTATTAGTTTTATAGCTAAAAATGTTGTTGATTTTATAGTTTTCTAGTGTGGTGAGAACAATTTTGAATGCTGCAAAACATGATGCATGCAAATTCCAATCCCGCTATTGGTTGCAACTTGAAAATGAGTATGGAATTGAACTCCGTTGGAGTTCAAAAGAATCCATTACTGGATGGATTTCGAAATTTCATCCTCAAAAGAATCCTCAAACCACATTATATGTTCTTTCTAAGGATAAGATTATCATTTCATTGCAAGATTATCAGTTTTTCTTCCTTTTGCCTAGTATTTTTGCTGTTAGCTATCGATATTCCATATGCTATTTTGCTGTTTTCTATTGTATAAGGTAGAATCAATCTTGTATGAGCTTCATTGTTGTAATTCCTCTGTATGTTATAAAACTTGCAATCCAAAATTGTTGAATAGTTTGCAATGATGTACATGTTCCCTCTTTTCTACAGCTCAGCATGACAATGAATATATCAGCAGATCTACAGTCATTGTTTACATGGAATACAAAACAGGTTGGAAAAAAAAATCAATTGTTTTTTTTTTTTTTTTTTCTTTACTTAAAAAGTTAAAAGTGATATTATTATTATATGGGCACTTGAGCTTTCAAATATATGTTTGACAATATCTCTTTTTGTTGCTCAAACGTTTAAGTAGAATAAGTTAGTGCATTCCGTTTTTTTAATAAGAACTTACAAAAGTAGAAAACGTATTTGACAAGATAATTTTTTTTTTCAGTTTTTCATAATATTTTGTTTATATGATTTTCACTCCTTGCAATCATTTTCCAGATTCTTATAATTTAGTTTTATGCACAAATGTTTCAGTTTTAAAGTTTGTATCCTAACTATTATGCTGTGATTAAATATGATTGGCTTTATATCATATAGCTTTTATTTAAATTATCCATAAGTTGATGGGTTTTTGCTATCCACAATTTTGGTTAAATTACTTTTAATAGCAACCAATTTTCTATGTTGTTGCATTTTATGAAACAAACTATTTATAATTCTATTAATTTAAGGGTAATCAAGTATGAATACACTATAAAGGTAGAAAAAATAGTTTGTGACCTTGCAAAAGAAGACTTTACCTTAAAGTTTTCATTCAGAACACGTATAAAACCATCATTTTTCATTAAACAATAATCCCAGATAGGGGATAAAATAGTCATTTACTGTCTTTTAGATTGTTCATTTATCACACAAAAAGAAACAACAATTTTCATCTAACAAATCATATGGCTTGTGTTTGTAGATTTTTGTCTTTTTAGCAGCAGAGTATGAAACCCCACAGAATTCTCTAAATCAGGTAAATTTGTTTTTCTCCAACCATAATATGTTCATGAAGTTATAATTATATTAAAAATTCTTTAGGATTATCATTTTAAGGGTTTTAAATGGTGTTCTAAAATCAAACTACATAAAAAGAAACATAAAACTCTGCTAATGTAAATATTAAATAATCTAATGTTACTAAAGGACAAAAACGTAATTTACGATTGAAAACTCCCTGTTTCTATTGTTTTTCCCACCAAGTGCTTGTGATGTATGCATAAATGGTGTTGAAAAAAATATTTGAAAAAAAACCACGAATTGGAAGGAAAAAATAAATGAGGGCAAATTTGTAAATTGTTATGAGTTATGTCTTGTCTCCATTACAAAGAGAACGAAAATATACTTTATTTGTATGGCAATCCTTAATAGAAAAATGTTGCATTTCTTTTGGACAGTGAGGGGTATTGTAGTTAAATTTGATTCAAGTTTCTCTTGAGGGTATTTCTGTCTTTAGTTAAATTCCCATAATAAAAATCATTAATTAATTTGATAGGTATCCTTGTGGGATGGTATCATTCCTGCGAAAGAGCATGCAAGATTCTACATCCATACAACTAACAAATACCGTTTCGTTGATCAAGTAAGTGTTTTTACCACTTTACCCTTATCAATCTTTGACTTAATGGACTTAATATGATTTTTTTTTTACATCATTATATCTAAAAAAACATTACATTTTCATTATGTTATTTAAACGCATTGTAACTTTGAAAAAATCAATT